GGACAAGCAACGTGAGACCCCACAGACCCCCTTGAGGTACCACCAAGAAGCTTTTATTCCTTCCCAGCGGGGGTGGGATGGTCACAGGAGGTGACACCCCCACTTTGGGTGTCCCATGGGGGCTCCTTGGGGACACGAGGTCCTATGGGCCCAAAGGGAGCACTCGGAAAGGCTGGAGCCCCAGGACCTGCCCCACTACGGCCCTGGGGACCTCCAGGGTCTGGGTGAGGCCTCGCAGGGGGAGAGCTCCAGGTAAGAGACCTGCAGGAGGACACAGGTCCATTAGCACCTCCATGGACACGTGTCCCACCAGCTCCATGGCCCATCCATCCATCTCCAGCGGCTCCATCCACCCATCTCCATTGGTTCCATCCATCCATCTCCATCCATCCCCATGGTGTCCCCCCACCTGCAGGTCCCACCCCCCCATGTCCCCACCTCACCTGTGACCAGGTCCCTTGGCAGCAGCTTCCGATGGGGACCAACATTGTCCTCAGGGCCACACGGGCCTAAACATCCATCCATCTCCAGCGGCTCCATCCATCCATCTCCATTGGTTCCATCCATCCATCTCCATCCATCCCCATGGTGTCCCCCCACCTGCAGGTCCCACCCCCCCATGTCCCCACCTCACCTGTGACCAGGTCCCTTGGCAGCAGCTTCCGATGGGGACCACCATTGTCCTCAGGGCACCACGGGGCTGTTGGGTGACACAAGGAGGACGTCATGGAGGGGTGGAGAACATCATAGATGTTGGTTCCATCCATCCATCTCCATCCATCCCCATGGTGTCCCCCCACCTGCAGGTCCCACCCCCCCATGTCCCCACCTCACCTGTGACCAGGTCCCTTGGCAGCAGCTTCCGATGGGGACCACCATTGTCCTCAGGGCACCACGGGGCTGTTGGGTGACACAAGGAGGACGTCATGGAGGGGTGGAGAACATCATAGATGGACACATAAAGCTCAGTGTGGACATGTAAGGATGTCATAGATGGACACCTAAAGGTCATCATGGACAGGTAGAGATGTCCTATGTGGACAAAGAGCTGGAGAACATCACAGATGGACACCTAAGGATGTCATAGATGGACACACAAAGGGCATCATGGACACGTAGAGCTGGAGAACATCGTAGATGGACACATCAAGGTCATTGTAGGTACACGGGGATGTCATAGATGGACACAAAGGACACCATGGACACGTGGAGCTGGAGAATATCATAGATGGACACCTAAAGATGTCATAGGTGGACACACAAAGAGCATCATGGACACACAGAGCTGGAGAACATCATAGATGGACACATCAAGGTCATCGTGGACAGGTAGAGCCATCCTGGATGGAGCCAGGGATGTCATAGATGGCCAAAGGGCTGGAGAACATCATAGATGGCCACCCAAAGGCCAGCAGGGACAGGTCGAGGTGGACACGTAGACCATGGAAACCCACCTCAGCTGCCCACGTCCCACCCTACCCCCCGGTCCCCAAACTCACGGCAGACATCGGGGATGCTCCAAGGTCCCACTCGTGCCCCGGCCTGGTGACAAGCAGCTTCGTAGGCCCCGAGGACCTCGTGGAGGACCTCCTTGTCCCCAGGAGCTTCACAGAGCTCCCATAAACACACGTCGAAGAAGACCCCGGGGTTGACCATGGGGTGACAGGCCCCGAAGGGACCTTGTGGAGCACGAAGGACACCACAAAGCTCCGCGTGGACAAAGGCTCTTTTGGGGGCTTGGTGGCACGGGGGGCACAGGGGGCCGGGACACAGGGGGTGGCACGTGCTGGGGGTGGCCACCAGCTGGTCATTGGATGGGTGCCCGTCGAAGTTGCCGCAGAGGCCGCAGGTGAGGTTGCGGTGCCGGGAGGACACGGTGATGGTGAAGGAGGTCCTGGGGCCGGTGGTGAGGTGGAGGCCGAAGCGGGTGCTGAGGACAAGGGAGGTGGGACCGTGGTGGGACACGCAGATGGAGCGGTCCTCCAGGCAGAAGGGGAGCGGGACAGGGAGGCCGTCCAGCTGCGGGGGACAGGGGTCACCTCCAGTTCCTCGTGCATCCAACCTTCTCCATC